TTGACTCTACCAAGCCATACATATTGGTTTGAGCGTTTTTCACATGTTATAGTCAGAGAGAAATATAGACAAAAGCTGTTAGGGATCATATTTAAGATTTATATCACCTCAGCAAAATGACGATCAAAGATTTTAAAGGGTTATTTTATGAAAATGAAGCTGTAAGATGAAGATGTGAACTGTCCAAGAGCCTAAGAATATCTTCTAGATGCTAAATACCTGTATTAAAAAATAACTCCAGTAATCTATTGCTGATAATTATTTTACATAAGAGAGAAAAAGAAAACTCAATGTTTATTCCCACACACAAAAAGTTTAACTTAGGCCTTGTCTACACTAGAGGGTTAATTTGATGTAAGTTAGGCAGTTTAAGTTATGTAACTTACCAGAGCAGGGAGCTCCTTTCCAGGCATTGCTTAAAGGTGATGTGCAAAGGAGAAAAAAGTGGGCGTCTGCTCTATTTTGTTTCTGTTTCCAGGAAGTTTGAGGATTGGTTTGTTTTTAATTCTGCTTGTTTTTCTTACATGAGAAAGGAATGAGTCTTTCAAGTTCTGTTGCCTGACATATTGTTGTTTTCATGTTATAGAAACACTTGCTACAAGAAGTAGAACATAGGATGACTCAAGAAGCCCGGAGCAGGCAACAGCTGGATGTGATGAAAGCAGCAAACATGGAGAAGATGCTGGAAGACATGGGGCAGAAAGAACAGAGGCTGCAATGTCTGACTGAAGATGCTGAGAAATCTTCTAGAATAGTGCAGCTTCAGCAAAAACGGATCAAAAAAGAAATGCGGCAGGTAAGCGCCTAACTACACCTTTAAACACTTCAGCATGTACCATGTTGCTAAGGAAGCTAGCATTCCTTGAGAAATGTATTAGGGCCTCAGTATTGGTTACCAGCTGCATGTCTTTCTCTGAGCAATGCTGAATGCATCCCCTCCAGTGTCCTGGATTGCACAGTATAATCTGGATTTTGGGAGTTATTGCCGCCTCCTTCTGCAGCCCTGCCAAACTAGGAGATGTTCTGAAATGAGAGACATCCCCATAGACTGCCTTTGGGTCTAAGGAACAGTGCACTGGGTTGGGGGCTAGGAGACCATGTGGTCTAAGCTCATCTCTTCCAAAGTTTTTTATATTTGTGTGTACTTCACAACTCCTACTATTGAGCATGGCCTTGAATCCCTGTCCTCAGAAGCAAGTATTCTCCCCATTTTACAAATAAGCTAATGGAGAGGTCACACAAGGTCACTTCTGACAGAACTGGGGATAGAATTGTGTTTAAAATGGCAAGCCTAAATCTCCTCCACACATCCACAACGTGCCAAACCTAAGTATTTGTAAGCACTGCTCTAACCACTAGATCATGCTCCCTTCCTAGAACTGGGAGTAGAACCCAGGAACACTGATCTCCAACATTCTACCATCATTTAGCAAATAGTTGTGTAATCCACTGGCAAATGTGTGTCATATCCCTCGCTAGCTGCTGGTCTACAGAGAGGATAACATGGAATTCTTTAGCTCTGTAATAGGAATCTGAAGACTGAGGGTTCAAGTCCTGCTGGTACTTTGTTTGTACATTGTGGAATTTCTGTCCTTCCTGATTTCTTTTTAAACAGTTGGTTTAATGAGTGAGAAAACATCCTTAAAAACTGCTTTATAGTTAAAAAGCCCCCAAACATTATACCACAATTGACCGATTAAAATGTGTAACAAAACATAGATATAAAATGTTTCAGCCATTTGCGTCACATTGTGGTTGCTTCGATTACACACTGGCAGATTTAAGATTGAGAGGTATGACTGAATGGAATGGAGGAGCTCAGGAGTGCCTGTTAGTTAACCCACTGGTATATTAAGTCTTCTCCTGCATTGTCACGTGAACTGTAAATGAGGAAATCCATTCCAGCAGTTTACCATAAACTCATAAACTTAGAAGTTACTAACATTTAAATGTTCTTATTGGGTGAAATCAAACATGCAGTACTATATTTAGTATAAATTATAGAATGGCTAATCATTCCCAACAGCACAAGCCTTTCGCTTACAATAAAAGTTTGGCAAATTCTACTTGATTAAGTTGTTTTTTATGCAGATTTTACTGATCTTATCTGATTATATATTTTGTGTTTAAACAGTTCTGGATGATCTAGATCCTTTTGGGAGATTTATTGATGTATAAAGTAGATCCAAGAGCACCTTGACAGCCAAAACATACACAAAACAGCTGCTGTTTTGTGTATAAAACAAAAACACATGGTTTTTCATCTTCAGCATATCTTAATGCCATTACTATGGTATAATAACAAAGAAATGGCTTGTTGAAACTAGTCCAGCAAATACAGGGCAAAACCACTGACTCAGGGCAAAGGAGACACAACCAAAAACTAAACACCTTGGTCGCTGCCATAGATTGGTCATTTTTATCTCCACTCCAAATGTTTACTGTTGTAAAAAAAGAAACATAATTAGCATTTATGGTAATTATCAAGTCTTTGATACTATAACACAAGTTGTATACAGCCATTGCAGACAGCATACATAGCTGGCATGTAGAAATTGTATTATTCCTTTGCTTTATCTACTTTCTATCTGACACGATTAAGAGGCACACATCCATTACCAGTGGTTCTCATACTGGGGTTCAAGGAACCATTTTTGATGGTCCACTGAATGAAACATTTTGGGACACAGACAGGCTTGAGCCCAGTCTACACACATAAATTACATCAATTTAACTAAATCAGTGCCAACACGTTGTGTGGACAGTCTGAAGTTGGATATTGAGTTAGCTTAATTTAATTGCTTAACAATGTCCTCCATTATTAGACTGATTTAAGACTGTCTGTAGAAAGGACTGGTACAAATTTAAGTGAATAAATTTAGAAGCTGATTTAACTAAATGAGTACAATTTCCGTAGTCCAGCTCTTGAATTGGATTGTTGGGTGGATAAGTGGGTCAATGAGAAGTGTTTTGTGTCTCTTACAAAGTGACCTGCAGAATGAAAATGTTTGAAAAACATGTGATTAGATTTAGTCAGGTAAGTCCCCTTGGCTGCACTTCATGCACTCCACAATCTCTTAAGAGCATGAAGTGTGGCTTTCCATCCCTTTTTTGCAGTCCTATCATAGATAGGATGAAAATTCCTTGTTCTTATCTGACTGCCTCTCCTGTAAACCTGGCCAAAATATTTTCTCTCTTCAACCACCTGAACAGTCCAATTGAAAGCACCCACCGCGATTTGGGAGAGTTGGGATGACAGATAGCATTTTGCTGGGAATAGTTTGGCAGGCTGCTGGCACTTTCTGTGACCGCCTTTATTGAGAGCATATGATGCCAAGAGACTTTTGGAAGAGCAGAGCATTCAGCCCTGGCACATAGGCCAATGAGTTCATAGTTCCCCATCTCTAAATGGTGCAGCTGTGCACCCTTTTGTTGTGTTTACAAAATACTTGTAACCCTTTGAGTGCCCAGAAACATCAGTAGCTGAATTGGCCTTTGAGAAAATAAACAAATAATGTGGTATTAGATAAACAAAACAATTAGTGTCAGGACTTTTAGTGCTACATAGTGGTCCCTGCTGCTGGAGGAGACCTATGTGGGCATAAAAGCATGTGGCTTATAACAGTTACCCTGTATAGAACTAAGCCATCGTCTCAGTGGTGTCTGATTCAATTGCTGGTTCTCATTTCTTGCTCCTTGTTCTGGCAGGGAGTGGCGGCACTGAGAAGACAGGCCACACAGCTGTTGGAGGAGCTGAGGGGAAGATGACTTGCTGTTGTTCACTCCTATCTTTCATTTAGAATGGCATTGAGGCTGGACGTGGCTGGTCATGATGTGGGGTGTGGGTTACTGGGGTTATAAATAGAGAGCTCAGGGGAATGAGAAGGGAAAAGGCCCCAGGTTGTCTGTCTACTGTCCTTTCTTAAAGTGCTGGAAACTGCAGATTTTATTCGTTATAATGACCGTTTATACCAATTATATCACTCTCTCCTCCAGAAGGATCCCAGACACATTTTATAAAATTATATTGAGGAATTACTTCATCCACCACTGAACTGTGACCACCTTTGATGTTGACAGCATCTGCTTCTCCTCCCTTTGAGCCCTTTAGCCTGTGACTTTGCTTTGAATGAGGACTGTCAGAAGATTTTTTTTCTTTTTTAACCTGAATCCTCTACATGTGGTATTGCCATCCTCCTTAGATAAGAAGCCAATTGATCCAAGAACGTAGTTTAAAACTGGATGCCTTCCAGAGGGTGGACGAACTGCAGTATCAGGTTTACGACTTGGAAGCTGTAACATCCCAGAGAAACTCACCCGCAGGTGAGGGAACACCTATTTCTTTTAAAATGATATGGAACATCCAAACAAGGCCAGTAGATGTTTCCAGCCTAATTGTGTGGCTTGGGTACTGTACCACCACCCGGATTGCCAAAATGGCACATGCCTTCATATTCACCAACCCCCACCTACAAAAATAGATGTTTTCTCTCCCCCCTTCATTCCCCCTCTTTTTTCTTCTTTTTCTTCTCATGTGTGAAGAAGGCCTGAAAGATGGTTTTGGTGTTTTGGGGGTGGGTGGGTTTTGTTTTTATTTTTGCTTGTTTTTTTAACCTTAGCACCATCAGGAATATAAATACTGCTGTTTTTACTGGAAGTCTCTTTGGAGAACAAGAGAATAGGAGTTGGGAGCTTTCTCGGTTCTTCGTTGGAGGAGCAAGAATTTTGAAGCTTTAACAAAAAGATTTTTTTTTCTTCCCAGCTGTTTTTTTATAACACCTGTTTAATTCAAAGTGCTTTAAACAGGTTGATGAAAAATCCCCACCCCTGCAATTGCTCAAGTTTCACTTCCTTTCTTCTTGTGATATCAAAATCCTGCTAATTCTTCAATCAGCTGTAGAGTCATGTAGAAAATTGGGATGGCCAAGACCTGAATTTTTAATACACTAAATACAGGGAAAAATCCCAACCTTCCAGGCCTTCTTTAAATATTATGAAGACTAAAAAAATGACATCCAGTTCTGACATACCAGGGTACAATCCAGACCAATGAGTAGCTTTGTCACTCCTGCCCTGTAACCTGGGATGCCCTTTAGAGTGCTTTGCTTATGTAGCCTCCAACTTGGACTGCTCACAAACAGCCTCCAGCATGTCCAGCTATGTCTCTGTGTGTGCTGCAGCCAACCAGCCCCTGTGGGCTCTTACCAGCCTTAAAGATTACCACAGGGTGACACCAACACACTCCCAGTCCCAGATTTTCCCCCAGAAACCTATGTCCTGTACTGCCCAGCCCTCTCCTGAACAATACAAATATATTAAGTCTGTTATTCCCTTGAGGGAATAATATGCACACAACTTATTACCCCAAATGGAATTACCCAAACACTTTGACTTAAACACACTGGACTAGATAAAACAATAAAACAAGTTTATTAACTACAAAGAAAGATTTTAAGTGAGTACAAGTAATGAGGCATAAAAGTCAGAAATGGTTACCAGAAAAATAAAGATAAAATGCGTACTGGTGGCTAACTTAAGAAACAGTATTAGATTCAAAGCTAAGCTTTTTTTACCACATGCTTCAGAAAATAACTGACCAAAATTTCCAGTCAGGACCCCTCCCCTAGAGTCCAATGGCTGCTTCCTTTGTCTCTTCAGATGCAGTGAATGTGATGAGCAGGGAGAGAGAGAGGTGCGCTGGGGAGTTTCTCTCTTTTTTATAGTTTCATTCCGTCTCTTGAAAACATTGCCAGCTGAGACAGTGTGTCTGTGTGGAAAGATGTTCCCTGCTGGGGTTTTTCGCTGTACATTCGGTAGTTGCAGGGTTGATTTGCAACTCATTGTGGGTTTTCCCTTTCTAATGCATTATTTCAGTGCATTTAATCGGAGATCTATTTGTGTTTCCACTGAAAGGTTAAGAGGAACTAAGTGAAGATTTCTCTAGCCACTGACTTTCAGAAGAAGCGATGTCTAGCATTTCAGAGACAGCAGAGGGTTCTGATCTGGCAGCAAATTCAGCCCTGCAAATTCATTGCAATATAAAATATTCCTGATACTTCCGTTAGTTGCTCACCCTTACATCTTCACAGAATTCTAGGGATGCCATTAGAACTGCTGAGGCATATAAAGCTTTTCACCTCTAGGTTGATGGTAGTGACAAAAAAAATTGCCCAGGTCAATAGTCAATGGAAGCGTCCATATGATGGTTTTTTCGTTGTCCTATGTGAAAAGAGGTGTTCGAGTCATCAGTTCACTTCACCAGATGTTCTCTTCACCGAAGTCACTAGAGTTGGCATGGCTGTGTAGTCTTTAATAGAGAGGACAAAAGCTGGATGGGCTGCCATGGAGCCGTAGCTCCTTTTGGTGGTCCCTCTACATCAGGAGTGAAACATGTTGGTAGGACAGTACGGGGAAGCTTGTGCTGTTGCTGCCCATGCGGCATCTGTTCTGAGGGGTAAATAAAAGCCCTCCGTTTCCAGTAGTGTAAGTCAGACACCTTTCATAAGCACTGAAATTCACACACAGTGTTAAGAATATTAAACTGCCTTTCCAGTGTTAGTAGAGATGAAACATATGGCCAGCGTAAAAACCAACCGGGCAAGTAAGGATGAGTACATTCTGAACCAACCAGAGCTAGCTCTCTATGGGCAAATCAGACACACAGGATGAAAAGAAGTGAAAATCAGCTTGGACATTTCAAAGTATTTGGCTGGCAGGGAGTTCCCATTCTTCAACCTGCTGCATAGCTGGAGAACTTGTCTGGAGAGCAAGGCAAAGCCTTTGTTTAAAATGGAGCCTGCCTCAAAATACAGACATTCCACAGATGTCTGTCCCCAAATACTAAAAGGACATGCTTTTTTCTAGCTTCTTCTTGATGATTATGGTGTTAATTGTGTACTGTATTATGGCTGTTGTAATTTATTTCTTTAAAAAGGAATGAAGAAGTCCACTAATCTGATGTCTTATAATGCTAGCAGCGTAAGACGTTCTTTATTAGGTAATAAACCAATACAGAATAACTATCACTTCCCACCCATTTGCAGTAATGCACTTTGTCAGGAAAAGCAGGCTCACAGAGTGCAAAGGTTTATATTTTTTATTAATTTGAATAAGGCTGTATTGTCTTTAGTTGTAATATCAAGCCCTAAAGTAATTGCATGCATTACCCTTCATTCTAGTGTTCATATTCATCTAGGGGTGACAAGCGTACAGTTGCTGTATCTCTATCTATTTAGGCTGTAATTGCAACCACAGCCAGGTCTTGACACTCTCATGTGATCTGGTTACAATAAACACAGTTGAGTTGTCCACATAGATGCTTTAGTCACAGCACAACCAACTGTCCACCATGCTGCCTATCAGTGCTTTCTGAGAAAATCTGGCCTGTTGCCATATTGCCTCAGATTCATTTGCCTCAGCAGGGGACACAGAACAATACATTCTGGGACGTCTTGCTGCACAAAGATATGGGAAGGAGGAGGAGCACCCATCTCAATTATACTGATGTAGGGTCGTATCTGTATGGCAAAATAAGTGCTATAATTAGTTTACAGAAACATAGTTAGGTATCAGTCAAGGCTGTTGGCACGGGTGACATGTGGCAAGCTGCCAGTGGCTACTAACAGAATATTAACTATGCTGTATGTGGAGACAATCCAAGATTAGAGCTAATCATATGAGTAGCTGGTTAGAAACTCAGCATCTGCTTTAGAGATTTCTGTGGCTAACTGGACCAACAGTCAATTAGGGAAGTTCCTCTGTCCATGTGAAGACCTAGTGAAGGGAAAAACTAAGCTAACACTTGAAATTGAAGAAACACATCATCTTTCATTTTTGATTCTGTTGCAATCTAAGGGATAATGACAATAGTGCTTTGGAGAAACTATTTGCATATAATGGATTATAGAGTTTGGATCAGCAAAGATCTGCTTCACTGATCTGTCCACTGATGGTGGAATATATGTATGACTCCCTTAGTAATGAGACTTTCTCTAAGCTGTGACAGGGTATGGGCTTTGATGAACTTTTTATGCAGAAATATTGTGGCTATTTTTAATTCTGCACATTCTCTTAGAAACTATACAGGAACCGCTATGCAGTTAGGACAGGACTAAGAAAGAAGTTGCTTACAGTTCTGTATGACTGTTAACATCTGTATTTTTGAGAACAGGTGCTTTGTGTATTTTTGCTAAAGTCAAGTTCTGCTGTAACTCCACATTATTTATAATATAGGTTCTGCATCCTGGGCCCAGCGCACAGTGCTCTCAGCATCAACTCTACCTAGGGATTACAAGCAGAATCCTTTGACTCCAGATCCCAAAGGTAGCAATGTAACATCTGGAAAGACTGAACGGCCAAAGACTGTGAGTAATGGTGGATTTGGTAGTGAGTGGTAAAAGAATGTCAATGAAGTTTGTGAAAAATGAATTGTGTTGAGTCAGTCTCTAGGTCTGGACATTAACAGTCTAATCCCCCTGAAAGATCTGGATTAAGTAGTAGAATAAGGGGAGTGATATAATTGAAGGCTTCCTCTCACACCTGATTCACACACAGTCCTTATATACTGTTGGCTGATTTCCAGGGACTTGTTAGGTTTCTAAGGGACAATGTGTCAGGGAGGACCACCTATGCTAGAGGGTGCTGTGCCAGAGTCAGTAACTTCTGAGAAGAGCAGAGGAGGTGGTGTCTTACAATGAATCCTGCCCCTCTTCAGCCAGGAACCTGCCCCATTCCTGGTCAGCCTGCCTTCTGCAACCACTTCCCTTTGTTTCAGACTAGGAAGCAGCAGGAGAGAAATATGTGCCTGCAGGACAGGCTGGGATGGGTTGCTGATCAGGATAAATCCACTCATGCTCAGTGTAATTACTGCACAGACTCCTTCCGAGGGTTAACATTACAGCCCACTCACTTAACAACTGCAGGTGCCCAGCAGATGGAGGAACAGAGTGATAGATGCTTTCTTACCAGACCTGGCTGAACACACTCAACCTCCCAGCCTCATGCAAACAGGCTGGCCCAAAAGTGAGCTGAAATGTACTTTTGATTAAAATCAGAGGGTGTTTTCAGACCTATGCATTGTAACTGATCCAGCTAACATGGAGTGGGATAATGAAATTTATGCAAAGCCAAACTGATGTACAAAGTAACAAGTGCTCTGACTGGGCCCTGGTCTACACTATGAACTTATAGCAGTATAAATATGTTGCTCAGGGGTATGGATTTTCCAGTTATACCAACCTAACTCCCAGTGTAGACAGTGCTATGTCGGGGAGGTGGAGTACCTACGCTGATGGGAGAAGCTCTCCCGTTAGCGCAGACACCATCTTCATGAAGCGCTACAGGGGTGCAGCTGCCCTGCTGTAAGTGTAGACAAGGCCTGGCAATCCTTTATTGGTGTGAACTGTGAAAGGCTTTTTTGTATTATAAAGATTGTTCATATTTGGCAATATGGTTAGATATAGAGAACCCCCACAATATTAACCACATTCCAGGATTTGCTATGAAATTTTGTTTTATATAAAAGTAAATCATTCTGCTGGCCAACCTTCCATGGGAGAAAACAAAGCTTCTGAGTACAGCATGCCAAATATGGACATAAAAAATAATCCCCCTCTAGAGAACAGGAAAAGTACTGTAAAACAAAAGAAACCTCTTAGAGAGGGAGTGGGATGAAGGGGCTTATCCTGCTGTTCAGTTAGCACTAGAGCTGGTCAAAAAACAAATTATTTTACAATTTTTTTTTTGTTCTGAATTAGAACAAACACAAAAACAATCAAAATATTTGGTGCAAAGTAATTTTAAGAAAGAATCCAGAGAATCAAAACAATGTTTTGAAAAATTCCAGGGAGCAGGGGATTCTGGGCAGGAAACCAGGAAGACCTGGTTTCCATCAAAAATTTCTATTGATTGGATACATTCCTGTGTAAAGTTTCAATTCTAGTGAATCAGCATTTTCCAACAAGCTCTAGTTATTACCTCCTCTTTCACTCATCACAGAAACTGATGTTCTGGGACTTTCCTATTATCTAAAAGATGGTGATGAGAAAAGCTTTGTTCAGTGTAGTCCTGAAGCCTTAAAATGCCACCTGTCCTACTGACAGGAGTGTGTAGCCTGATCTATAGTGTGAGTATTAATTATATTGATTACCTAAAAATTCCCAGGTATCATTTTGACAGTTGACAGGTCCTTGGCCCAAGAGCAGGCCCAGTATTATTAAAATTACTATATAGTTGGGAACCCCAATGTGCACAGCTGCAACACTCACTATAGGAACTCTTCTATATTTCCAAATAGTTTATTAATACATTTAGTGAAGTCACACACACTCACTCAGTAAGATAGAGACACTACAGAACGTACATCCATATACTCACACCATCCCTTGCAGGACGACCTGAAAGACTCATCTTCCTCATCACGAGTGGCCATCGTTTTGGCCTCTTCCAAGGACTACACCTCTTTCTTACCCCACAGGCTGGGATGCAACCTTTATAATATGTTACACTGATGCTACTATATCTAAAGCATACTCAGTAGGGGTTTTTCCCACTTTTTCCCCTACATATATTTCCCTCATCCTACTAATGCTGAGGTGTCCTCCTTCAACAGGTTAGTATACTGATAGATGTAATTACCATTTCAGCTCATGATCATATCTATCACCTGTTCTTAAGCAGATTTACAGTTATTACTTGTGTTCCTTGCAGTAGCACTTACTGGAACATTCTAACTCCTACCATTAAGCAAGCTCTCCTTAGTTCATAAAATCTAAAAAGTAACTGTTGATCTATGCCAAGGGTTATGGCCTACTTAACCACACTTATGCTTCAGCTCATGTCTTACAGGATACAGACATGCCAAACCTGTGGAAAAAAAAAATGCAGAAATTGGGTTTGTTTTTGGCTTGTTGCTTTTTTTTTTTTATCAGTTCCTGGCAAGGAGGGGGTAGGGGGGAAAAGAGTCAGGGGTACACAGCAGGTCCACCACAGTCCCAGATGGCACACAGGGGGCATCTAGTCACATAGAATGTTGGGGTTCTTAGGGATTGGCTTGTTTTGAAATGGGATTAGCTTGATTTCTGGCTTATTTATCACATGAAAGTTGGCAACTGTGGATACAGTAGGTTTCTTGCACTACAGTTGATAATAAAAGCAGCTAAATATAAGGCAAGGCAGTGAATATAGTAAAGGCAAGCCTATGGGCTACAAGTGTCATTTACAAGAGCTGTGTTATTTAGTGGAACTGATCCCATATAAATAGTGTAGTTCTAAGTCTCCAGGACTGTACACCGCTTGTTCAGTCAGGTACTGCCAAGTATCTGTCTACCTGTATAATTCAACCAAATAATATTCTACTATGCAAGAATGGACATGGGCTGTTTTTGCCCATCCACTGATTTCTCTGTGCCTTAAGGGATGCAGTCTTTGGAACTAAAGCCTGACCATACTGCCAATGGACCACAATAATCTGCATAAATTTAGATCAATGTCCATTTGTTTCCACGGGGTGCCTTTAGCATAAAAGTAAGTAAAATGGATCTGCCTAGTGTTACAGCTATGTCATCTATATCCTCTTACATCCCTTTCCTCTGTCATCTTCTCACCTGTGATCTGAGGACAGCTGAATAGTGGTGCTTCCCTGCCACAGGTCAAGCCAATCCAAGCTTGAAGCAAGGCTACTATGACAAGACTCTGTACTACTACAGGTTCTCAGCTGGTGTTTTTTCAGGTACCAAGGCAGAGCCTCAGCGAAGACACTTTTTCAAAGACAATGGATGAGTAACTGGCCTTTTCTTTCACAGCATTATCCTTTCTGTAAAACACAGATCAGACTAGATGAAATAATGGTCTCTTCTGACCTTAAAAATCTATGAAACTAAGGCCTACATCTTCAGAGGTATTTAGGTGCCGTAGACACACATGCTATTGTAAAGAGCAAAAGTGAAACCTGAACATAAGAATGTCTGAGTTGGGTCAAAACTGTCCCTCTAGCCCAGTATCCTGTGCCAGATGCTTCAGAAAGAATGAACAGGGCAATTTATCAAGTGCTCTATCCCATTGTCCAGTCCCACCTTCTGGTTGGCAGAAGTTTAAGGACACAAAGCACAGGGTTGCAGCCCTGACAGCCTTGGCTAATAGCCATTGGTGGACCTATCCTCCATGAACTTAGCTAATTCTTTCTTGAACCCAGTTATATTTTTGGCCTTCACAATATCCCCTGGCAATGAGTTCCATAGGTTGGGCGAAAAAGTACTTCCTTATATTTATTTTAAGCCTCTTGCCTATTAAGGACATTGGGTGACCTGGGTTCTTATTATGTGAAAGGGCAAGTAACACTTTCTCCACACCAGTCATGATTTTATAGACCTCTATCATATCCTCCCTTAGTCATCTCTTTTCTCAGATGAAGAGTCCCAGTCTTTTTAATCTTTCCCCATATAAAAGCTATTCCACACCTATCATTTGTTTCCCTTCTCTGAACCTTTTCCAATTCTAATGTATCTTTTTTGAGAGGTGTTGACATGATCTGCAGAGTTTGTGTGGCATATTTTCTGTCTTACCTGTCCTTTTCTGAATGATTCCTCCATTTAAGCACATTTTCAGAGAACTATCTACAATGCCTCCATGATCTTGTGAGTGGTAACAACTAACCCAAGTGGAGTTAAATGTTTGTTAGGGAATTTTATAACAAGGCAGCCATACTGCCTAGTGCACGCTCTTTCCCATTGTTTGACCTATGTTAATTTATCTAATACCAGCGTTGTCATTTAAAACACCACCAATTTTAATACTGGGAGTCCCAGGGAAACAGGCTAGGATGGAATATGCTTAGCAGTACCATAATTTGTCAACAGCGAATGGTATTAGGACAATTAAGGCCAAGGTCCATTTACAAGTAGTAGTATTTACAGTTAAGGACAGAAGTTAGTGAAAAATAGAATATTCACCCATTAAGCAATGATATTACTTTGTTAAAATAAATAATTCCAGCAAGTTGTTACTGAAGTTTTTAGTGTTACAGGTTACTTCCCATAACCTTTACATTGTAATATGAAAATAAGAGCTGTAACATTCTAGTGGCAATGACCGTTAATTTGTTTATATGTACATTTTACTTTTCATCCACTGTTAAATTGATACTATCACTAGTGTTAGGGTTATGATGTTTCCAAGTCTGAATCAGTTATGGTTGGTATATTTTTCCATATCATTCCTTAAGCAATATGTGTGGGTCTTAAATAGTAACCCTTAAAGGTGGAAATGCTTATGTGTAGAAGGAGTTTGTAAGGCTATTGTACTGTGGCCCTATGAGTTAAAACTGGAAGCTTGCTATGTTAAGAAAATAGCCCTGAAGCTTACTCAGATTGTTGCTTAAAATTAACCCCCCCTTCCCCACCCCCAATCACCTCTGTTTACTATGATGCTGCTAGCATTATTGGGTAGTTTTCTATGGCAGCAGGCTCCTGAATTCCACAGGATACGAGTAACAGACTCCACTCTCCTCAGAGGAGAGTTTAGGGTGTGTACTCACACCACTTTAAGAATAACATTTACAAATTAAAAGCACTTACTAACTCTTCCCCTTATTCCCAAAGAAGTTCATAGGCTGTCTTCACTGCAAAACATCCCTCAAGTAGCACAATAATTGTGTTAGCAGCAGATGAGTTGTGCTACCTCAAGCTGCAGCACATATTCCCTCGGGCTAGCTGACAAATTAAAAGCATCAGCTGAAAGGGAAAGGAGAGAGAGATTCAGTTAAGGGATAACACTTGACTTGTAACTCTACAGTGAAGACTTAAGTTAAAAGTTAGTGTTAAAATCCCAGTATAGACGAGACAAGTTGTTGTTTTAAAATGTTAGCTGCTTGAGGCTATGCCCCAGCATTTGCCTCTAATAGTTTAAAACAACAACTTGCCTTGACTACACTAGGATTCAGTAGATTTTTGTCCTAGCATAGGAATAGTCAGTGAAAGAAGAGTGACTAACATCTCACATTACTGCAGAGATGTTGCAAACTCTGCCAGTGCACATTAGAATCCAGCATCAGGTGCCCTTCCCTCAATACCATGAACGGTGTCCAGTGGCTAGAGCCCTAGCCCAATCCATGTCTGTCACATTCTTCCTGTGTGACCTTGGGCACATTAATCACAGGTTCTTTTACAGCTGGGAAATTTAGTACTAATCTTTCTCAGAGGGGCTAAGATGAGTGTCAAGGATTACTACTCTGCAGGAGCAGTTTCACTAAGATTCACCCAGAAGGCTGAGAACACTTGTTTAAAAGCCACAGAATGAGAGACAATATTTACAAACAGAATAAAACCAAAAAATTCATTCAATAAATGTGATTTTATTTGTCAATTTGGTTTTCTGATTAGTTTTGTTTTGCATTTCTTCCACTGAACACAAAATACAAACAATACAGCAATGTCTGCAAGGAACATTCATAAGATATCAGGTTTGATAAATATATATTTGCACAAGGTGGTTTCAGGAACAAGTCAGATGATAAACAGCTTGAAAAAAGAGTCACTACTGTTCAGTGCTTAAGCTCTGATTTAAAGAGGCAGCCTAATGGCAAATAAAACTACCCCATGGAGACAATTTAAGAAGCTACCTTCTGCTTCAAAACAGAACTAAGAGGACCTGAAAGTTCTGTTAGTCACATGCTAGTAGCCAGCACAGACTACCTGGCACTGTAATTTTGCAAGGAAGCTGTCTTAATTTTAACAAAACACAAAACAAAAACCATAGCAAGGCAGCCTAAGCACATGTCTGGCAACCTAGACTGAGTTGCCAGACAGAAACTAAGTCCTAGCTATGATTTTATCAGCAGCATATGGAAGTTAGTCTGTCTAGCAAGGCAAGCATATAGGCTGCTGCACAAAACTTACACCTTCCTAGAACAAGACTAAACCTATAGTTCTGCAATAACTCTGCATTACAAAATTAGAGCTTCCTTAAGATTGACATCAATGGCACCAAGATCCTGGGTTTCTTAAGTCTTGGTAAGTAGCAATTGCTGACACCAAAGGATTATTTTAGTAACTAAGGCAAGTTCCCCCCATTGGTTTTTCCAACAAATCTGAGGCCAGAGATTTTAAAACAATTAAGGCACTTGAAAAAATGATTGCTTAATGAGCACATTTTCTAACATAAATCAAGATCAGTGTGAGACTAATTCAGTTACTGTGTAAAATTTTGCTAAAAATGCTTTAATCAACTCCAGGTTTAACTCTAGCTTTGTTTTCCTTAAGTCTCCTGTAGCCTTTTGCTGCAAGTTTCTAAGACCAAAATGTTAGACAGAGCTTTTAGAGAATTAGGCACAATACTAAATAAAACTGTTTTATGAAAAGTGGGAGGTCTTATTTGTCACATTATAGAAATAAGTGCATAGAGCATGTTCCTCTGCCCAAATTAAGTTATGAAACAATTTAAGGAGAGGGGAATGACAGACTAAATGATTTTACAATATAAGGCCAAGGATACACCATCCAATCCAGACAAACAGTGCTTGCTGGAAGTTGGGTGGTCAGTCTGTTTAATAAACCTGAGCTGACTGCCTGGCTTTTGTCAGGAGTACATTAACCTGAAATTCTCTGAAGGTACAGCACTGTCTGGTAACAATTTTATATAGCAAGTTTAGTTTTTTATGCAGCATAACAAAGTGAATGCTTTCCAAGGCAGAAGAGCATGAGGAAATAAAACTCACTGCAACTAAAATGCTTTTTCATTTACTTATTAAGTTATAAAACCCATACATTGCCATGACTTAATTAGTAATCATGCGGTCAATGTTTAAACACCCAGTTTAAGGTAAACATTTCAATCATGCAAGTCAGTGGCTGCATAAGGCTATAGAATTTCTTCAAAATGGGGATAAGGAACACCATCCATTTGAAATTTAGTCAATTTTAATAGTTAAAATGTAGTTTTTCAAGTGCTGAGCCTGCCCAATCCATTTCCAACATTATCTTATATTGTTTTACTCCCATAGTGCTGCATCAAAGGCCCACACAAAGAGGAGGAGAAAGTGTTTGTAGGCAGTGGAGAACAGTGAAACTTACTATGCACAAAGCAAACTGTTTCTCTGTTCTAGTAATCTTGAACACCTCTAATAATAATAGATCACATTTGTCTGAAAAAATGTTATTTAAGTTGGCGCTCTTTTGAAGTCAGGAATGTGAAATTATGCTATAGCCTTCCTATGCCTGCCTTGTTACAGGCCAGAAATAGTTTGAGACAAGTGAAAATTTAGTTCACCTTCAAAATTAGTCCAATATCCCAGTCCCTCATTCACAAAAGAAGTCAACCTCTCAAAAGGTCAGAAAATAAAATGTTAGCCATGTTTTTGTTGTAGTGAATGTTGAGATTGGAAGGGTGTACTCTGCTTTACTCTATTAGGCTAGTACTGCATCAGCCTTTAACTTTGATACAAATAAAAATGGCACAAGCATTTGAATTTGCAACCCTAACTTTCTCTCTTTAAGGCACTGGACTTTATTTCCTCTTACATGGAGGGGAAATATTCTCACCACCCTTTCAGTTGTAACAACTAATGGCCAAATTTAAGAAATTAATGTGCAATACAATTCCTAGTTGGCATCTTTAATTCTCATGTAGAAAAATATGGGTATAGCATTATTTTCTTCCAATAGGATATTTTATGAAGACAGTTTCTACTTCTACAAACCTTTGTTAACCTTCCTCGCAGTACACTACAAAAGCCACAAGCTAGCACAAATGGTATTTCACTCCCAGAAGTCAGTCACTGATAATTCATATGTTGATAAAATGATAGGGATACCGCATTTATGGTTGATTAAATTAGCCTCCACAATCATCATCATGAGATTGTCTACTCAAGACTGTTACCACTGAATACAAGAATCATTGAGAGTCTACATTTGGCATGTCAAGTTTAAAAAAAAGAAAAGTCCCACAGCTGCAGCCACTAAGGAAAAACAAGAATCACAAGGACTCATGCAGCATATGGAGTACCTCTGCTGAGCCAGAGATGATTCATACCACCTCTTGCCAAGTACAGTGTTACAAAAATATCATCCTTTCAAAAAGTCTTCTTTTGGAGATTTAAAGGATATTCTGAACTGTGGTGTTCCATGTGGGACAGAGAATATATTTTGTTTCAGTGAACTACAGGAGTTGGGCTACTAGTCCATTGTAAAATGACAGGCTCTAGAGAGTATGATAGTTCCGATCTTTGGACTTGCAGAATTTATACAGGAAGAAGATTACAGCCTGCAGACCCAGAACAAGGACAATCCCACCAATGAAACTGGCAGCATCAAATGTAGACTTGTGAGGAGCTGGTTTAGGGGGACTCTCAGTAGTATGGGTTGTACCTGTTAAACAACAAATTAATAGATTATAGTTTAACAAGAGGATGTCACATTTACAGTAAATATTAGTACAGAATTTGGGGTTTTCCTTCTTGTACTATGAATCTGTTCAGTAAGAGGTTTGAGATTAAACACGGATTAAGAAAGCACAGTGTGTATGCCTGACAACCCCTAAGCATGACATTTGCCAACACAGTTCTTCACTTCCTTCCTTAGTACTCCCAGGTTTGAGGATCTAAGCAACATTTACAGCAATGGCTTTCAACCTGTGATCTGCAGCCTATATCTAAGATTTCCAAAGGGGTATGCACCTCTATCAGGACTCCCACAGAAGGCCAAAAACAATTTTCCTAATGAGGTGAAACCCTTTCTTCTGCTCCCCGCCCTAAGCTATTGGTTCTGCTCATATTTAGTGAATGACCTTACTAAAGTCAATAAAATCTCTGCTTGAATAGTCTCCCATCTGTTAAATAAAATCTTCTAGTAATGTGTAACTAAAAGATTTAGATCTACCTCATCACAACGCACAGGGCATTGTAGCCATCACCAAATGGATAGGCTTTTAAAAACTACCTCCCCCTTTTGAATATATTTCATTAGGTGGTATAATTTCAAGATCTAGCCTTTTAAGTTGGCTCCTATTGTTGTTGCCCAACACATGTTAGTGCAGTGTTTCTCTACAACTGGTCCATGGATCAGCACCAGTCCCTGAAATCTCCTCAACACAGTTTAGGAAGGAGCAAGCCAGTCCCTGGTATTAAAAAGATTGAGAAACACTGCATTAGAGTATTTTACCTTAACCCAGGGTGTCAGGAGTGCAATATTTTAACTCAGTCACCGGACTTCACAAGTTCATCTCGTGAAGCTATTCTTAACATAGCTGAAATGAAGCCAAACTATTAATTTAGCCAATTCACTTATTTTGAAATTTCACTGAGCAGTGTTTGTTACTGTCAAGGCAACATCTCACAACTGATATTCCACCCTGATAAAAGGTAATTGTGGCATGCAAGATCATGACTTTCTGGCATACCTGCTGTTACTATTCTTCACTACTTCCTGTCACCTAAGTAACATTTTTATTTCCAAATAATTTTTTTTTTTAAATACTTAAACTGTGACAATAAAAGAAAAAAGTTACCTGGTGTACTGACTGTTGAGAGAACTGGAGTACTTGAAGCAGTAAATGAAGCAGCAGGTGAAGTTGCACTGGTGATGTTAGCTGTTTTGTAGAGAAACGTCTGTACATTTTGAACTTGGAAGTATCACTTTTGTAAGTTCTATTTTGTAATTGCTTCAGTTTTTATAGGTTATCATCTCACTCAAGCAAGAACAACCACCCTTAAAAATGCAGACTATGTACACATAGAATAGAGGTACTTATAATGCTGTGAAGTTAAGTAAATTTTTTATAGACAAATTTGTGAGCTGTTACTACATGTATATTTAAAATTTAAGTCTTGCTGCAGTATAGTTACCTGAATACTTAAGGCTCTCAAGCTATTATAAATGGATTTAGTTCATTAGACAGTATAGTTCTTTATTGTGTGTGGAGCACTAACATAACTGTGATATTTGAAACATCTAAAATATTTGAGACAACTCCCTCAGCTAGAAATCTGTTTCACTTACACAGTAGAACTTTAGTTTTATGAGCACTAATCTTACGAATAAGCAGTTATATGGACCAAATTTCCTGACTGGGAAAAAAAGTAAGTCACAACAAAAATGATGTAGATGAAGAGCAAGTTGACTTCCCTTCATATTCCTATGTCTTCAATCACTGGCAAATCCTTTGTAGTGGTTTGTAGGACAAGACAGTTGTGCATTGTACCTACTTAACTGAGATGTTCAATTTTATTCCCAATTAGTTTGTAAAACAAGGGTTCTACCAAAGTTTGCTTAAAGTTATCTTACTTAGCCCAGTATCAGTTCATTACAGCAATTATTTCTTTTTTACCTGTGGTAGCATTAGCAGCTGTGGTAGCAGCAGTAGATGAATCTGTGGAATTGTGTGTAAAAAATAAAAACTTACAAGATTGTAACAAACATAAAACAGACTCCCATTTAAGGATAGTAAAATGCTTAATGGATTATGAAGGCTATTGTGAAGTAGCAAAAAGATTGGAAGAGAGTTCACTGCACTATAGTAACACTAAACTGTGGGAGCAGAATACCTCAAGCAAACAAAATTGAGACACGCATATAGTGTAATTCAAGCCAGAAACAGACTAACAGAGGCCAAGCCTGGACTCTCACCACAAAGCTCAGCACAAGTGTTATGGAACGTTCCAACCAGCTACCGCAGACTCTGAAGAGTTGCTGTGGCTAACTGGTGGGTGCACACCCAGGCTTTGGATCTGGAAACTGGGCAGGATATGTAAGATTTAGGCATCCAGTTCCCCTTTGTGTCTTCAAAAGTCTTCCCATAACAGTTCAAGTTCAATTTGGAGCGAGATTCCACAAGCAGGTATGCATTTGCTCTGGCTTGCTGGGTGATTAAAATATATATTGAAAGCTGGGACATCTTCAGTGGTCCAAAAGGCTGAGTTTAGATAAAGCTCTCCTTCCAGTGAGTACCAGAAAGTAAAACCTGAGCATACAGTCTAAGAAGCTGTTAGAACTTTTAAAAAAGAATTTGGTTAATAAAAGCAGTTTGCTATATATGTTCTAAGTACTGATGACAATGCATGTTATTTGGGGCAGCAGATTCATTAAGATTCCTTTCTAAAGGGGGCCCCTACCAAATTCCCAGGATACAATCTAACAGCTCTTGGATATGCAGGAGTCAAGTAATACTTGGTATAATGGGAGAAACAGGATCACTGCAAACCTAATAGGAACGGATTGGAGTTCTACTACTCATTTGACATTGTCATGTTAAACTGCCAGTTAAGTGCTGTTTTACTAGAAAGTGGTTTACTAAAAAGTGGCATTCTGGGGTTCCATATTCACCTTAGTGACTCCAGGGCAAATGCAATCAGTTTACAAAGAGGTTTTTCTAATTGCTAGTCCCTAAAACAATCTGAAATTAGAAGTGAAGTACAACGTTTTAGTCCTGGGTATTTTTAGTAAAAGTCACAGACAGGTCACAGGCTGTAAACAAATCTTCATGGCCCAAGAACCATCCATGACTTACTAAAAATACCAGTGAATAGAACTGGTGTGTCTGTGTGTGCGGCTGCCCAGGGCCCCCGTGGGTGCTGGAGGGGGGTTTGGCAGGGCCAGCACGCTCCCTACCTGGCTCCATGCTTATCCTCCCGCCACCCCCAGTAGCAGCTTGGGTGTGGGAGGGGCACAGGACAGGGTGAAGCAGGCTCTGGGTAGTGTTTACCTGGGGGTCTCCCTGGAAGCTGCAACATCCCCCTCACTCAGCTGCTAGGCGGAGCCATGGTCAGGCAGTTCTGCATACTACCTCCACCTGAAGGCACCTCCCTGCAGCTCCCATTGGGTGTGGTTCCTGGCCAATGGGAGCTGCGAAGCCAGCATTCTGGGCCTAGGCAGCTCAGAGCTGCATGGACATTCCTCCACCTAGCAGCTGAGCAAGGGGGATGTTGCTGCTTCTGGGGAGACCCCCACATAAGTGCTGCCCAGAACCCACCTCACCCCATCCCATGCCCCAACCCCCTCCCACACCCAAACTCTGCTGTTGGGGGGTGGCCCAACTTGGATTTTTTTTTTTTTAAGTGAAGTAAGCTCCTTAAAAGGCAACAGTGTGTACGGTGTTAGCATACAAGAAAGCATATTTTACTCTTATAAATGTAAATCTAGGTTTAACTGGACAATTCTCTTAAAGCTTACATACTATACAGATTTATACAATTGGGGCTTATACAATTGATACAAGGTAGGTTAGTGGAGGCTGGTAACTACAGCGCTGGAAGTTGTAAAGAACAGGAAGACTGTCTCAAATAGATGACTCTTAATGCAGTCTTTTCCAAGTTAACTTAAACAATATCCAGATACTTACAAAAACACTCTGAAATGGTAGTACAGTTAAGTCTTGTTGCATTTTCACAAGAAAAGTTTGATCCTGTCCAAAAAAAAGTGATATCAAGGAGCGGTAGGAAAAGGTATTTTTATATTGACAATTTCTCAGAAATGAATATTATGCTTTATCAATTACAAATTATGTTATCTCATAAAACGTCTTAATGTTCTATGGGGGGATTCCCTGGGGATGTCAGTCTCTTGGCTATTAGAATTAAGACGATTTCAATGGACAAGATTTAATACACGTGAATGTGTTCCACCATTAATGACATTATGTTTTTGTAAAGCAAAAGTGAACAGTAACATTAACTCACATAAGCACTGTAAGCAATCCGTGTAATACCTCTTGAAATATATTCTACTTACAGATACCTGCTTATGTACCATTTTGAAAAAGGTATGTGGATATAAACAGTCAGACAAGTTTAAATAAAACATTAAAAGCACCATTTAGTTTACTGTTACTATGTTTGAAAAAAAACTAGGGCAAAAATACTCCAGGCCCAGTTCTGTGATACTGCACAATGACTTCCACTAAGAATAAATGGAAGTTGTGCGATATATCTAAAGCAGAATTTAACCTCCAATTTAAGAGGAATTCATATTTATCTGTTTTGATCAAACTGACAATCCATATTTACATAGCAATTTAGTGTTAATGTAACCTGTTGAGAAGTTTCAAGACATTTAGCACACTTATTTGTCCATAGTCCTCTCAAACAGGCTGTCCACAATGCTTCAAATTTTGTCAGAAAATTCTGGAAAGAGACTACATATACTGAATTTATAGTGGAAAGAACCTTTTGAGAGCAACCCAAAACTGGACTGGTAATGTTTGAGACTTGCTTTCCATTAACTATGGGGAGAGATCCTCCATAAGACCTTACATGGGTAGTCTACATAACCATGTATTATCCCATCACCACTACCCTCATTTCCTCTTCTTGTTCTAATTGTTTCATCCACTTCTGTGTTGCATGTTTAGAATCTAAACTCATTGGGGAGGGACTGTCTTAACACAATGTTTGATCAGTGCCCAGAACAATGGGATCCTAATTCTGATTATGCCTTCTGGGCACAATATAAAGAAATAGGCTAACTTACATAAAAGGATTGTCTACTGCCCAGTCTTCTCTTGGGGCACTTGAGATCAGGACTAGATTTAACAGTTCTGTGGGATAATCTCAAAAGGGACTGCAATGTTGGAATGCTTGTCAACTTTAACACGTCAAGGTCCATCCATAACCTCCTTACCAGCAAGACAAAGTAACTAGTTTACTGTCTTTTGAGAAGTCTGCTGCACAGTTAGTAGCTAAGATTTTCTATGGTGCTTCAGGTACTTTGGTTAGCGGGCCTTTAAAAATTCTGTATTTGTATTTTGGGCATAATATTCAGCTGCCACTGGATAAGAATTTAAGATTAGTTTAACTTTCATGTCTAAGTGTTTGTAGTTTGTGTCCATTTCTGTTTTGGGATCTTAACAGTTTAGAACAATTTTAAGATAGTGTTGCTTTTCACTATGTTATCCACCAAAACAGAGTTACCATCCATCACCCCTTGTAAATGTTTGTGAAATCAGACCCAAAGACATATCTAGTTATTGAATATTAGTTTTTCCAGATGTTTACCTTGGCACTGACTCCACTTGCATTTTGGAATAGTGCTATTAACACACTCACTGCAGGTTTTAAGATCTGCACAGCTGGCTGAAAAAAGGAAAACATTTAATTATGGGCCAGTTTATCATTATCAGAAGAGCAACTCTCTCAAAGATAATGGGATTAGTTTTCTAGCATTTTTAAAAATCACAGATCTCAGTTTTACTTATTAGCACCTATGAATTGAGGACCTCCATAACACCCTCAAAAGTGTTTACATATGAACTGAATCAACTCCCCAAAGCATCTTTATTTTCAGATAAGAAGCTGTAGCACAGAGAAGTGACATGCCTAAAATCACAAATCCCTGGCACAGAACCCAGATCTGTCAACACCTAGTCTTGCGGTCAACCCATAGGATTATCTTTTTTCCTCAAGTATTGTTAGTGACTCCAACTACACATGTATTAGGCTCAAGTAGATTCAAATGCACTTTACTCCTGGCCAACAATACTATTGCTATTCCAATGCCATGCCCCAGAAATGCCAATTATACCTTATGTAGTGGTCTCCAAATATATTTATTAAAGCTCATAAGCATCTAAATAGAGAACAAAAATGTACAAGAGCAAAAAGAACTAAGGGTATGCCTATACAGCAAATAAAAATCCACAGCAGGGTCATTGCAGTGGATTTGGATTCACAGGGCTGGGGCTGCTTCACTGCTATGTAGATGTGTGGGCTCAGGACTCTAGGATACTGCGAGGTGGGAGGGTCCCAGAGCTCAGGCTCCAGCTGAGCCCAGAAGTCTACACAGCAGAGAAACAGCCCTAAAGCCTGAGCCCGAGCCAGCTGGTATGGCCCAGCCAGGGGTTTTTCTTTGATGTGTAGACGTACCCTAAGTCTGCCAACAAGACTTCAGAGGAGTATTTTGAACTCTCCTGAAAAATGATCCCTCACTCTCACAGATCTTGGGAGACACATCAGTCCTCGCTTACAGACAGCCCCCCAACCTGAAGCAAATACTCTCCAGCAACCATACAACAAAAACACTAACCCAGGAACCTATCCTTGCAACAAAGCCCGATGCCAACTCTGTCCACATATTTATTCAAGTGACACCATCATAGGACCTAATCACATTAGCCACACCATCAGGGGCTCATTCACCTGCACATCTACCAATGTGATATATGCCATCATGTGCCAGCAATGTCCCTCTGCTATGTACACTGGCCAAACCAGACAGTCTCTGCGCAAAAGAATAAATGGACACAAATCTGACATCAAGAATCATAACATTCAAAAACCGGTAGGAGAACACTTCAACCTCTCTGGCCACTCAGTAAAAGATTTAAGGGTGGCAATTTTGCAACAGAAAAGCTTCAAAAACAGACTCCAACGAGAAACTGCTGAGCTTGAATTAATATGCAAACTAGATACCATTAACTTGGGTTTGAATAGAGACTGGGAGTGGCTGGGTCATTACATATATTGAATCTATTTCCCCAAATTAAGTATCCTCTCACCTTCTTGTCAACTGTCTAAATGGGCCATCTTGATTATCACTACAAAAGTTTTTTTCCCTCCTGCTGATAATAGCTCAACTAATTAGCCTCTCACAGTTTATATGGCAACTTCCAACTTATCTGTATCTTCTTACTCTATGTTCCATTCTATGCATCCGATGAAGTGGGCTGTAGCCCACGAAAGCTTATGCTCTAATAAATTTGTTAGTCTCTAAGGTGCCACAAGTACTCCTGTTCTTTTAACAGAAAATAAGAGTCAGTTAAAGACTTATGGGATAAAGCAACAAAACGGAATTAGTTAATGCTGGCCTAATTGGTATAAGCCCTCATTTGTTACAATTGTACCAAAAGAGCGTGGACATTTAAGCCCATACAAGTAGCTGATAAAACAAGTATTAAAATTTGACTTTTCCATACTCTAGAACTCTATCCTGGCTCCTGAAGTGGACAAGTACTATACAATGCTAGAGAGAACAACAGTCTAAGCATTAATAGGAATAATTGCAACTAGACCTGACAGCTGTGGATGGTAAGAGATGAAAACATCCCTCAGGGTTCAAATGCCAAGGTTACTACATTGCAGAACTGGAAATCCTGAATACCAAGACTGATCTTTCCTTTCTGCTTAGCATGCATCTTCACTCATATGGGGTCTGTTACTAGTAGTTGGAGATAGTGGGGAGCAAAGATACTAGGTAACTGAAAACCAGGAATGGCTTATAGGACAGAGTCCACCCACTCTTACTGGGTTTCTCAACAGGTGTGACCTGATACTTCTGTTTTCGTAAATAGAGAGTCAGCTTGTCTAACTTCACCCTGCTTATTTTTTGGAATACTAAGATCTCTTAAGGTACATAGCATATGCAATGCTTGACTAAAAGTGATGTACTGTTTTTCTTGAAGAAACTAACGGCTTCTCCACCTGAGAGTGAACACATCTTTTAATGCTGAATCAGAAGTCCAGTTGTAATTAGAAATTATCCTTAGACTGGAACCAGACCAGAAATGTCCCGTCACTTGGATATGCACCCATGTCCTATGTTGCTCATGTCTATCAAGATGTCAGTCAGCAATGGTTTCCACATTAAAGTATGCCACAGATACTACTGAGATCAAATCATCCAGCCTCTGAAGCTGAATCTGAGCAGACATCTGCTGACTCAGATAAATCCTCTGCCAGACTTCAAATGTACTGGATCCTGTCCTAGAACAAGAAAGCTTAGAGCCGAGCTTTGTCTTACAGCCCCAAGATACCTGCAGACATCACTCTTGAAACAGCAGCTCTTGCCACCATATAAATTAAAGGTAATTTATTACTTGAAGTCAAGGCATTCACCTGGCCTGAGTGACCTTTCACATTTCCTTGTGAAGAGACTTAGTCACACTAAGCCATCTGCACTGACATTTGGCAACGTAGACCTGGAAATCCACATTTTGAGGTGAAAGTATAGACTGGTAAATCCTTCAGCCACATGAAGGCTGCAGCAATGAAGCTCAGGATTCTAGGGTCTTGAATTCAGCCCTTTCTTCTGGATAAGGCTGCCTCAGAATTATGAGAGGGGTGTCTTACTCAAAGACATTGTTGCCTATTTCTCCACTTTCCAGGAAAAAGGGGTTCCTTACACCTTTTCATCTTTACCAGCTCATCAACACAATGTGAGGACACACCAATCCTATTCACATAGGAAAGCTGGTCCAGTTACCCATCAATGACTGTCACAATTCCTAGAGAGGCATGGATCCAAAAAAATCAGTTCTGTCTGCAGGTTCTCCTCTTCTGTAGAGATTGTGACAAAGTTCCTCCTCTGTCTTGGTGGGTCCTGCGCTTATTGGTGGATTTGCTTACCTCAGAGGTTCACAGCAGCCCTCAGTTTGGCCACTTCGTGGCTCAAATCTGCTGTTCACTCAGTTAGCCTCATCACTGGCCAGCATAGGGAAAAGGAAGAAGAACAATCCCCGCAGTCTCTGCTGATCCACCTAGTGGATCGGGGAACAGGCCAGAGACCTTCCCCTCTGATGGAAGCCACAGTCCAGGTCAATTCCTCTGGTATCAAGTAGAGAGTTGGGGGGGATGGAGGGAACCTGGGCCCACCCTCTACTCCAGGTTCCAGCCCAGGGCCCTGTGGATTGCAGCTGTCTACAGTGGCTCCTGTAACAGCTGCATGACAGCTACAAGTCCTTGGGCTAGTTCCCCATGGCCTCCTCCCAACACCTTCTTTATTCTCACCACAGGACCTTCCTCCTGATGTCTGATAATGCTTGAACTTCTCAGTCTTCCAGTAGTACGCCTTCTCACTCTCAGCTCCTTGCACACACACCACAAACTGAAGTGAGCTCCTTTTTAAACCCAGGTGCCCTGATTAGCCTGCCTGTCTTAATTGATTCTAGCAGCTTCTTGATTGGCTGCAGGTGTTCTAATCAGCCTGCCTTAATTGTTTCCAGAAAGTTCCTGATTGTTCTGGAACCTTCACCTTACCCAGGGAAAAGGGACCTACTTAACCTGGGGCTAATATATCTGCCTTCTATCACTCTCCTGTAGCCATCTCGCCTGACCCTGTCACAAGATGTATATGGCTAATGACTATACCCTGAATAGAATCAGAATAGCACTCATCTTCAGATACTTCGCCTTAATGCCACACAAACAGCTTGGCACAGCACTTCAATGGAGATGGCAGGACAGAAGTTGCTGCCAAAATAAGGCATCTGAGAACAGCTTTGTTGAGGTTCTCGGTGCAGACAGCACTCTCTTTAGACTACACCATCTTTTTGTTCTGTTTGTACATTGCTTATCAGATAGGGACCCAGTCCATGACCAGGGGTTTCAGACACCACTGTAGTACAAATATTGGAATAAAAGTTGTGTCTGCCTGACCACTGTGGTACAAGTATACCACTGCATCATCTCAAAAATGGAACTGTCAACTTTGATCCTGAACCTGAATGACTGGAATAATTCAGTCAGAACGAGTCAGATCTTCAGATGCCATCCCAGGTTTCACAAGAGTTCTCTAAAAGGTTTCACTTCGGGGCTCCATGAAGTCAAAAGCAGCAATGAACTCCACAGAGCCTCTTGATTTCAATGCTTCTGCAGAGAAAGCTTCTCATCTCAAGAGGAACCGAAGCTCAGTACTATAGACTTAACTGACAAAAACTGCAAGTTCATAAGGTGCTGCTGACCTGCTTACATGACAACTGGAATAGATAATGCTACAGTGGTTTCAGCCACTCTTCAGTTTGAGGAGTGACTGGAAACTGCTCCTCTATCAAAACTGTTCACTTAAAGTCCCACATAGATTTACCCTGTCCTCTTATGCTGACGAGGATGATGCACATCCTATCAGGACACAGAATTACTGGCAGAAGTAATACAAAAATACCAATTATATGAACAGTCAATATGATTTTACCATATTAATGACTCATGTCCAGTCTCATTTTGTTTCAAACAAAGCTATAATAGCTTTTAAACATTTGACTGTATAAACAGCACTAATTTTGTCCATGTGATTACACATGCTGTACTTGGATCTACTACATTTAACTATTTATAAATAGAAGTCATGATATTTTTATTATGATCTTTTAAATACATTAAGTACTGAAATTCTCACCCATAGACATCTCTGCCTTATATTTCCCTAAATCTGATGTACCAAGACCAGTATTGAAGTGATTAAAAACATGGTAATCTAGTGGATTAAGCATAGGATTAGCAATAGTGAGCCTTGGTTTCTAATGCCACTGAATTCATGTGAGGCTTTGACAAATCACTTCCCCCACAGGCAAGTACTAATATTTACCTTTCGTACAAGGTCATTCTGAGAATGAATGTTTAAACAAAATATTGGATAGGACAATCTTCAAGTAATTATAGTTAAGGCTACAATTTTGTTAGGGATAATTTTAGGTAAAAGTCAGGGACAGGTCATGGGCAATAAACACAAAATCACAGAAGCCTGTCCTGATTTTTACTAAAAACATCCCTGACAAAATGGGGAGGGAGGAGGGCCCAGCACCCCGCCCCCCACGCCCACTTCAGAGGCTGGGAACTGCAGGAACCCCCATTGCCCAGTGGCTGGGAGAGGCGGGTGTCTCCCGCTGCCCACAGTGGCAGAAGAGCTGCGGGGGGAGGCCCTCCTGCCCCTGAGCAGCTCTGGGGTACCTCTGCTGTCGCCAGCTGCAAAGCTGTGCCTCCCCCTCCTCCTGTTCGTGGCCATTGAGCAGCTCTGGGGTCCCTCTGCCACTGGCAGCCGCGAGGTGGCCCTGGCTGTGCACAGCAGCTGAGCCACTGCAGGGGGGACCCCTGCCAGCAGCAGTGACTAGGCAGCTCAGGGGTCACCACTGATGGCAGGTCGATCAGTTGCAGGGGCTCCCGCCACCCACAGCTTCTGGGCAGAGGCTGTGGGGTCCCCCGCTGCCAGCAGCCGCTAGCCAAACCCCTGACATAATCTTAGCCTTAATTATAGTGATGCATTTCCTTGATGTAGGGAGTGCCAATTAACACTTACATAAATAAATACTATATAACAACATTAAGTTATCTAGAAACATGCAATAAACTATTGTAGATTTGAGTACCTGGCTATCAAAAACTCCAACGTGACAGTTTATTCTCCTGACTACTCAAGAACAGGATCTGTAGCTGGTTACTCAGTTTTGCTGCGCTATTTCCTCCCAGTGGTCTTTGCATTTTTTTATACCAACTATAAATCACGGCTTCGGGAGGCAGATCTGGGCATTTACTGCCCTGGGTTAATCAAATCTGTTAAGTGGCTCTGCTTGTCCTCCTCCTGCCGTAGCAGGGGGAGCAAATGCTGCAAGCGGCGATTAACACCAGCAAGCTGCGCTTTCGGGAACTGGATCCAACACCAGAGTAAAAAAGCTGAGTGCGCGTGCAACGGAGCCGGCTGCCGCCGAGTCTCCTGGGCAGCGCGCCGCGGGGGGCTGGGGGGGGCAGCGCAGGGCATTGGGGAATCACGGCGACAGAGGCGAGCTTAGGGAGACGCCCCCCAGCCCGTGTAGCTGCGCCGGTCACCCAGGGCCCCCCGCACTGGGGCGCTCCGGCTGCACTGGGCCCTGTCAGCGCCCGGCCCGGGGACGCGCTTCCCACCCCGCCTCACCCCGGCCTGGGAAGGCGCGAACTCCTGCTGGGCGCCGGGGCATGGGCCCGCCACAGCGCTCGAATTGCGGGGTGGGGGGCGGGTGAGCCCCGCCGCTTACAGCCCCCGGCCCCAGGAGGAGCCGCCCCAGGCTCGCCGCGGCACCCCCAGCTCCCGCCTCACCTGCCGCCGCCGCCACCCACCACAGCAGGGCCAAGCAAGCCGTGGCGAGCAGGACCCTCGGCGTCCGGCCCATAGCTCGGTGTCTGGCTGACGGGGCGACTCAGAACCCTCCGCGACCAGCCCCAACGACGCTCGCTCTGCAGCTCCGAGCCCAGCTACGTCACGTGAGCAAGTGGGAGGGGCGTGGCGCTTACGTAGAAGTGACTGGCCCCGCCCTCGCTCAGGATTCGGTCCGTCCATTCGCGGCTCCTCACCCTCCACCCCTCGAGTACATGGACCAGTCCCCCAGCCGAGCGCCAGGGCGGGGGCAGAACACGCCCCTTCGGCACGTGACCGCATCCCGTGATAGCCGTCCCGCCCTCTCTCGGGCGCTCCTACGCCGCTCTAGCCTCCGCGCCCCACTGCCGGGGGCTGGTGAGAGGGTGGGACAAGCCCTGACACCGCCCCACCCCCGCGCGCTGCGCGGAGCGGGCGGGGCCTGGCGCGGCCGGGGGAGGGAGTGGGCGGCGAGGTGGAGGCGCTGGCTGCCGGGTCCAGCCTGTGAATGTGAGGAGCCCCCAGTACGCTCCGAGCACGGGGGCCGTAGAGCCAGTGGAGCAGGAGAAGGGCGGGGGGGCAGCTGAGGCTCCGCAGAATCCACCTGCGCCCCCCTTTTAGCGCCACGTTGTGCACAGACTTACACCGTGTTCAGCCCATTAACGTCCGCGGGAGCTGCAGGGGTGTAAACGAGCGTAGGCCTTGGCTTTTGTCCGCTGGCGCCGCTCACACCTCTCCACGTACCTAGCTGAACACCTGTCCAGAGTGCAGGCGCTAACCCACCCCAGGCTGCATCGTTCCGAGGTTTGTTCTCTCACCGCCATCATTCGTCGTTGTAAGAATGCCAGGGACCAGCTCCCCTTAGGCCCATCCTCCCACGGTGGAGCGGGGAATGCCTTGCAACACTATAGTGAGGGTCAGGGCTCATATCTATAACAGGTATAGGAACTATTCAGAGGCAGTTTAGTAAAATAAGTATTTAAAAAACTAATGTACACAATGCATCCTCCCCCCCCCCCCGCCGCCGCCATGTGAGATTTGGAAAACAGACAGGAAACCTCTTAAAATAAGCCTGCCACTCCATTACTTGTCAGTTTGACTCCATGTTTTTCTCCAAAGTTTGTAGGAAGGATAGCAGTGCAGGGGAAGAAGTGTTCAGCTGATAATGTGAATACAGCCAGGAATGTTCTCCTGCACAGAATCCCATTCAAGCCCTATGTCCAGTTGTAATTTAGTGTAACCAGCTGCAGATTCTTAAAAGGGAGACGGTTCCTAAAACCCAAAAGTGAGACAGGTTAAAATGCAGCAGTTCTCTATCCCCCCTCCACAGCCACCATCTGTAGGCCAGCCACACAAGAGGTAACAGCCACCCTGTTCCCTAACAGCCACCCTGTGCTTGGACCAGGTCCAGAACCCCACTCTTCAAGCCCTCTACTTCAGTTAATAGTCCCTATTGTTTTATTCCTGTGCCAGGGCTTCTACACTTCTGGCAATTCTCCATTCCCCTTGCAACTCTTCTTTCCTAGCCTGCAAGACGGATCCCCACAGGGTGCCACTCCCCAGCTTCCCCCTTTCATCTGCAAATTACATCCCTGCTGAGCAGCTTCTTATGGGAACCTCTCTCCAAAATCAACCCTCCTTTCCTTGGCTGAACCTTCCTTAACTGACCTGGTTCATCCTTCTTTACTTTAAGGGCTTCTGCACAAACCTGATAATCAGCAGGGTTCCCTAGCTCTGGCCGTTTTCTCCCACAGTTCTCATCAGTTCTCTCTGCCAGCTATCAACTAGGATATTATCAGGTCTCATGTAACTACTGAAAGCTCCCTGCTCCTCCTTCCTACTCTCTTTTCTCAACTGTTGACTGGATCTTTATAGAGGACAGATGCCTTCTATCAGGAGCCATCCAGAGGCCACTAACTAGTCATAGGTGAACTGGACACATTCCCTCTTAAAGGTGCCAATCACACTCGGACAATCCCCCATGAGTACTTCATACTAAAGGAATTAATGTAGTTTATGTAAATAATTTTGCAAAGGAAAAATGTGCTTAATGGGCATCTCTTGTTACTGAAGAGAAACAAACACTATTTAACAAATAATTTCCCACTCATTTTTCTTTTAGGTAGAAAATTTATTAACTGGTCCATTTCAATTTTGGCATAGAACGAAACAGTGAAGATAATAATTCTAAAGTCAAGTTACAGTGGGAAATGTTATTGGTTCTGATTGCCAGAATCCAAATATGAACACAAAAGTCATTTCAGGATAGCAGCCGTGTTAGTGGGTACTCCTTTTCTTTTTGCAGATATTGCCACAAGTACTCCTTTTCTTTTTACAAAAGTAATTGTTATACTTAGGTCTTAGAAATTTTCATCTGTTGATTTCAGAGTGCTTTACACAGGAAGGTAAAGTAAAAATTCAAAGACACTTTTGCCAGTTGCAGACATGTTAGAGAGATTTTAATGGTTATGGATTATCTTTGTTGAGATTCTAGAACACGATTTCATTTTCCACACTCTTGCCATCCATTTGCCAGCTTCTGCTGAAGCCATCTGCTGTCACTACTCCTGTACTATGCCTAAGAGAGATCTTTCATCTCAGAAATTACTACTATGGCAATTGGCAACGAGTTGTGTGTTTAGTCATGAGTCATAAATGAAGGTTTTTTACACCCTTTAGATAAACATTGACTTCTTTATGTGGAACTTTTACACTCATTGAAACCACATCTACTCATTGCTATTTGCAAAATCTCTTGATAATAGGGTATAATTTCCTGTTTTGGTGTAATTTTAGCATTTTAATGAGTTCAGCTGGGTCCAAATATCTGAATAATTTGATACAATCTGTAAACAAAATAATTAAATATATGTCTAGGGCCTGGGTCTAATTTTATGTACACTGGTTTTACTCTGGTGTAGCTCCATTGACTTCAGTGGTAACTCTTGATTTATACTGGTGTAAGTGAGATCAGACCTCTGATATTCAGAGACCACCCAGTACCACCCTTATGTTGAGTTGTACCTTCCCTCACATGCACTGATTTTAATATTACTACCAGTGGCATGAGGTATGACTTAGCGTGACTCAAGAATGGCAGAATTGGGCCAAAGGTAAATAATTGTGTCCACTCATCACAATCAATCAATAGCAAATTCAATTATGAAGTAGTGCTAATTGGTGTTCTACTTAACAGGATTATTTATAGTGCAGCCTACAGTAATGTAATCTCTCACTGGACATCCATATTTACACAATAATTTGTATAGCTATATAATGGCATAATGTTAAATTCCCAAGCCCATTAGTATATTCATGTAAGAATTTGTGTGTGAACAAGCCATGAACATGTTCAGAATAGAAAAAATATCAAGCTAAAAAGTTTAGATGTATAAAAACGCTATTTTAGATTAAAAAGCCTACAAAATCTATAAAAGGCTGGTCAGAAACATATGCATTTTTACACATTACAGTAGGAAGGTAAATTGGCTTGTAATCAAGGCACAAGAACGCCACAGTTAATAATTTTACATTCTACTACAGGTCTTTCATTGTACGTAGATACATCTTCCAGTTTCTGAAGAACTTCTGTACCTTCAATCAGCTGTCTAAAATAAAGGGGGAAATTATATATACATAAAAAGTCAGTAAAATTATGATTAAGTATCTGATCACTGCCATAAAGCTCTACAGTTTTAGTAATCTATTTGACCATTTGAATTCCATGGTAATCATTTTCCACTACAAGTTATGTTAAATGTGCATGATTTAACAAAAATGTAGGACCATACATATGTATAGATGATACATATGGGTAGAGGATCAGGAAAATACACCAATAATTTAGTAGCGAATACAACTGTGTTAACTACCTTCAGTGCCGGTCAGAGCAAGTAAGTTAGAAACCCTGAATTCCTTCTATTAGGCTATAACAACATAATTATAGTTTTCTCAATATGGCTGTCTCTTAAAATAAAGGGTTCATGCCTTATATGTTCTTTTCTTTATAGGATTGTTCTTCACAGCAGACTAACATTCCAGCTGTTTCCTCTGAAAATATCCCAATATTTAGCATTTTAGGAGATAGAAAAATGCTATACTTTGAGGTATCTGTAATTATTCAAAGCAATAAACGTTGCAGCGTGTAGATACCTTTCCAGATTTTTGTGGCTACAAGTGTCCATGATATCTAATACTCTTCTTCCATTTCAAGAAAAAAAGGTCAAGAGGAATACTGTCAGAAATTGTTCTGCATTTAATTAAAATGGTTTAGTCTCCCCCCAGCCCACACACACACTTTTTGAAGTCTTAGGTTAGTTTTCTTCTTAATTAATCTGAATCATGACACCAATACAACAATGTACAATTCTACACTGTCTAAACTGTCCTGAGCTGCAATATGTAGGGTTCAGTCTTATAAGACCCTGTGTTAAACTGTACACACACGGGTTTGCTAGCAGTTCATGTAGAGAATCTGTACCTTATCTTTGGCACAGGTGTTGTGGAGGAGGGGAGGACATGTTAGAAGGTTGTGAATGGATCATTGATGTGGAACTTGTATCCAGGACAGGCCAATGAAGTGTGCCATAGCTATTTTAAATGTAAAAGTTTCTATTGCTATTGCAGAATTCTGTTGTATACCTGTGGAAGGCTAAGGTGTAAGGAGTGGTGTGCCAATTTATAGCACGGTAACTCCATATAATGCTGAACTGCCCTCTTGACACCTTATGGCCACTCTTGCTGGAGTAAGCTCCTAGTATGTTTATACATTGGGCAATATTATAAGAGCAGTGCTTGAAATTTCCTGTGCTTTTAAAGTAGAGAGTTCCTGGTAAGATAACAAGACACTACAGTGTAGAATTAAAGTCAGATGCCACTGATTTAGACACATCCAATTAGAACTCATTTACTCATTTTTAGTTTGTTTTTTATGTGTTATATTGGTATGCTTTTTTTTTTTTTTTTTTTTGCTTTTGAAATGCTGTACTCCTCTATGGTGCATTAGATGATAACCACCCTGGCATGAGAGTCTCATGCTTCCCCACGCTCCCAGTCTCTTTATGCTAGGAACCGCTAGCTGGGTAAAGGGATCTTAAAAGCCCCAGGGTGAAATCCTGCCTCCATTGAAGTCACTGGGAGTTTTGCCATTGTCTTCAATGGGTCCAGGATTTCACTCCTGGCTCTGGCTGGGGAAGGATTCCCCTGGCACAAGCAGGGCA